CCCCCCCATTTCAGGCGGGGGCATAATAAACGTAATGTTATGTAATGGAAGTTTTGCTAAACCGCATTAAATCACATCAGCATACAATGGTGAACAGCAGGTGACAAATATATCTGAATAAACCTGTAGGATTATATATATATATATATATATTTTGAAACTATTCAAACGTTTTAGAATTGTTTCAATGCATTGCTTATCCTAGATAGCGAACAGCTGAATTATTGTGATGGTGAAATACTGCGCGAAAATATAATAATGAAAGCACCTACTTATTGTATCATTCAATGCAAAGAAATATCTTTTAAAAAACCAATAAATATTAATATTGTTCTACACATTACTCAGCGTCTATATAAATGCATATTTCTTAATATAGTAAAAAGCCTTTCAACACTTGTCTAACACTGCACAAAAGTAAAACCAATAACCCAGACATGCACTTTTGCCTTCGATCAAACTATTTCTTTGAGCCCATTAAGATACAGATATATGTTATTCAATGCATTGTGTATGCTTCATATAACCGTATTACTAGTCAACCACCTGTCAACTGTGTGCTGATCTAACACTGCTTAAAAACTTGCTCAAAACTACTTATACTTCTACTCCCAAACATTCATCCCTCAAAATAACTTCTGGGATCGTAAAATGACAAATTATATAAAGTTCACTGCAATGGTAAACTGCGATAAATACAAAAGTCTTACAGTAATATAAAATATATAAACTGCTGTACAGAACGACGAAATACTAAGTCAGTATGAAAATACATTTATCCTCAACACTGACAGCATATACGATACATGCTTGGGCTCACACAACTGACATTCTCCGATAGTTTGACAACTTAAAAATCATAACAGAATTTACAACTGAACATTAACAACCTACACCACTGTCAATGTTCATGACCTACTTACTATTATGTTCAGTTAGGAGACGAATTCATCAAAACAAAAGTTAAATGTGTGTAATTTGGTTCCAGCACCAAGGTTACGTTGTGTTGAATGATAAAACTGTCCATTTTACAAGAAGCTTTACCCTATGTTTCCTTGTCAACATCTGTTGTCTCGTATATATTTGGAATTTCCACCATCCAAGCAGTTCATAATTTGCCTCACTGTGTGAAATATGCGCAATGGTTTGTTCCATGTTGTAAATTGCTATTTCGTCGTAGTTATTATCTGGAAAATGCATCAAATGCATATGCCATTAACATTAGCAAAGGAGCCGTAAGGTTGAGCTATGCTAACAACGTTTGAAGTTGATTTAAAAGTGGGAGCAATGTGCATTCAAGGTATCGCGTTTCCTTTTCAGAAACCAATTAATTTGAAAACTTTTTTTCATTGTACACCCTCATGTTGCAAACATTCGCTTTAAATTTTAAATACTTCGTATGTGAATATGCAAATGCAGTAGATGTTTACCTTGATTTTGTTTTAGCTATATTGCAGTTCTCGACAATGATATATCTGTCGTCTGAGAAGGCCCTGTGGTATCACCGCGCTTCATCGTCCGACGTCTGACCAGTACAATTACCAAGATGACCAGAGTCAATAAAAACAATCCAGATACGATGCCTATCCCGACAGCGGCGTCTTCATCCATTATAGCTACCACTATAGCATAAAGAGTAATGAATTTTCACTGCGTATGTCATACATTTTCCCTTATTTATCATTTTTATTTATTGTCCCTCCTTTTCATTATTCGGATTGGGGTGTTTCTTTGATATTATATTCTACATGTTGGGTTGGAATCAATCATTTAATACAAAAGAGATCACTTTTATAAAAAAAATTGTTGTCATATTTGTTTCCAGTCCATCCATCTGTACACCCTGTCATACAGTCTCCAGTGCCCTTGTCACAACTCACCATGACAATTGCCACACGACTTTAAACATTGTCTGCCATAAAAACCGGCTACACACACTACAAGCGCAAGCGTACTCAGATGTCATAAATTATCATGAATAACTGGTACTGTACATGTTATATTGATTAGTAGGTTTCAGAATAACACAGAGGCGACACCAACGTTTTGAACAAAACGGTTTTTCGATGTCAAAATCAATGAAGCAAAAACAACTATGATAAAAAGGATATATTTAGATGGGAACCCTAGATAACTTTGAGGAGAATACGACCAAGTAATTATGTGCACTTGGATATAATATGTTTTCAAAATAAATTTTGATTGCCACATGGACACTTGCTAATTGTCTTAAATACAACGTCAGCGTGAACTTGTAAACGTGTATCTATCTTAAGATAGAGAATCAAACAATATCAAGTACAACTCCTTACACACTGCAACACTAGCATGGCTCCGTCTATATGATGTCAATTTAAAGGGACATCACGTGAAAAGGCATTTTTTTTTAATGAGTGTATGTATTGTATGCACTTCCACTTATATTACCTCGTTATCTCCATATTCATAGTCCGTTCCAAATGTCCAGTTTGACCACTTGAATTGTTCGGGAAAGCCCTGCTAAAAATAGCGCCGATAACGTCACCTGACTAGGCAGTAAACACAAGTGGTGCGAGCGAGATGAAACGGTTTCCAAAGGGGCCCCCAGAGAGGGGCCGTCAGGCAACTGCAACTTCTTACCGCACTATGAAACCAAGTTATATGATTTCTTAGTCCGTATTCAAACTTATTGAACAGTAATTATTCATCATTAGAAGTTAATTGCACACTTGCCAAGGTTCAGAATTTAAATTTATTTAGCTTTAAACATAAATTTGTTGCCAATAAAATTAAACAAAGGAAGGGACACACATTTTTACAATTTATCACAACCTTCTCCCGTCATACATTTACAATTAAATGTCAACAATGATAATAGGCATAAACATGAAGTACATATATTTAAATATATATTGAATTTAGTACCGGAATGTGCCCGGTACAGATGTGCGGGGCTAAACACCTTCCCTACACCAAGGGACAAACCATTCTGATTTTTTTTTTTTTATATATTGCCGGGGCAGAGGAGGCCGGGTATTCATATTAGTACTAATTTAAACCTTCCATGTAAAAACAAAAATAATCGTTTAATTCAGCAATATAATTATATCATACCATTTTATTGAACCCGGTAATATTATAAATTATGTAAATCCACATCCTTAGATAACACGTATATCGGTGACCCAGAAAAGCACGCCGTGGGCCAACACAACAGTAATCCCTTGGAGGGCCTCATGGCAAAAACAAACTAACCAGTCACTTATCCCTTCCTTTCGCATAAACCACTGTATAATTATAGAAACACAAAGTAAACTCTCTCCGATAAATGTCCATTGACATATTAAACTAAGTTCATCTGTGTTCAAACTCAGACAAAGATACTAGCGAGCTTAATGGTTTTAGATATTTATTCATAACATAAACAGCGCTAGCATTTCTGTCGATTCCATTTCAGCTTAACCGGCTATCCGGAAGAATACATGCACCGTACTAACTGCTACGGCAGTTATTTTCTCCTTTGAATACTGCCCACCTGCAATAATGATTCCGTAACGTACTCCTTGCGCTATCTTTTGACCATTTGGCAACTTTTCGTTTCGTAGCTGACACGGTACAACACTTTTCTTTCGCTTACTTCACACGGCCAGTCATTTTGTTTGCAAAGAAATGGTGTGCTATGCGCATGCGCTAATAGAGGGAAATCCCTGAACAAAACGTTGGTCAGACAGGTAGAAATACCGATGATTTTCTTAGATTTTATCATTTTTTATGAATCTATTTCAGCCAAATCCGATCGTTATTTTCCATAAGGAGTCTCACTTGATATGTTTATTTAGTATTTGAAAAAAAAAAAAAAAATTACTTCACCGTTATGCCCCTTTAATGATTTTAAATATTGCCCCGAATTCCGTTTTTCAACTGATGGTACAATTCAAATATTGTGTGTATGCAGTGTCAGATAGAAATATAACCAAAATGCGGTAGTAAATATGCAATCAGGTCTCTGCAAGAATTCTTGGGTTCAAATCACATCCCTTTTACCAAACTAGGATATGTTCCTACGTGATGTACATGCAGGTGATTTGTTGGAATTACACTTTTTTAGTATTGTTGTGGTACATTTGAAAATAAGCGAAACGAGTAAACTAATAAAGTATTAACTAAAGTAGTTACTTTCATCAGTGAATGTGATTTTATAGGCATACTTTTGGTATGGCATAAGCTCACCTTGGTCCTTCGGACCCGGTGAGCTAAAAAGTGATTGGCAAATAGAAACTGACGCTGTTGGTGAGCAGCATTGTACCTGAACAATCCCCGCTACTTCTGGCACATAGTGAGTATCGACAGTGTGCCGGACAAGTCTGCTTACAGTCAATGCCATAAAACCAGGGTGCACATTCTAAACACATTTAAACAAATACATGTTTGATGTCTCGTTGCAGTAATTATATATATTCACACAATTTGTTTTAATTTTATTATAGCAATTATATTTGCCTTGCGGTAGTAAAATACGTCCTTTTGTTATTTGATATATTTAAATTGTATGTTGATAATGTACATTCAAAGTAACCTCTTGACGTATGATATAAAGTTTCTTAATGCGATATAGTTTTGCTATACCCCACAATTACTTACTCTGTCTGTTTTACTATGCCAAAAACGTAATATTCCATACGCTACAAAACAGTATCTCATGCAGTCACGTCTCAACGATAAATAAACTGAGAATAAGTATACGCAAGATCATAATGATATATTTCTGAACACATTTTTACCGTCTCAAAAATAATGTATCTGTTTAAACAAAACTCGGGATTAAAGGTCTAACAATGTTATTGAGATATCGGTGATTGCTTTCGTTAAAAAAAACATTTCGTTATGAGTTTACACCATGTATGATAACCATTGTCCCAATTGTATTGGTATACACACTTAAAACGTACACTTACCGGTAATGCAGCAAAACCTAGATGTTACAGTAGTCAATGCAATAAAGGATAGATATCCTTATATTTATAATTAATGTTTTGTGTATGTGTAACTGGCGATTTCACATGTCAAGCTATTAAAAAGGAAAACTACCATTCTATGATTTTACTTCTGTCAATGACCTTACATGTCACTATACCTGTACATAACCCACTGGTCTGATTACATATATCCCTTTTACAATTGGACGGGCAGCTTGTGTTGCAGGTATCACCATAATATCCAGGTCTACATGCTTAAATAAGAATAACATCAGCAGTCATTTGAGACTTGATAAATACATTGTTCACTTTACACTACAAAAAAATATAGGTTAGGTATATATTCAAACAAGAATTACAAGAAAACTCAGGCTTGAATAACACATAAATACGAGTTTACAAGTACATTTGTATCTCTTGTCATGGTAGGAATGCCTAGGGTGGGGAAATTGGCAGGTGTGAATAAGGATGCAGAGTGGAGAAAGACAGTGTAATTTGAAACAAAGTGGGTTATAGCAATACATATTTTCTTGCAATTGTCCTATAACTTGGTAATAGTTTGTGAAAGATAAAACGCTTGTATGGAATGCAAATTTATGTGAAAGATCAAAAAAGAATTATAACAATATTCTGTTAAATCAAAGCACAATATTTACGTTCGAAACCTTTAAATATCCATGAATTGCGCTAAAAGCAGTCATGCATCATCGAAAGGGCTCCACATTAGACGCATCTACGAGAGGCATTTTGATAAATCGTGTCACGCTTTTCCCGGTATATATTCAGGTTATCCATTTCCATAATCTATATATTTTCTAGGTATACTTATCACAATGATGCATGGAGTTTTAGAGTATGACGCATATATATGCAGTGTGCAAATTTAAGAAACGTTTAACCAGCAAATTCCTGATGAATAATTTCAAACTGCATTTTTATTTAAACATGTTATTAACATATTAAGGAGAGTTATTGAAAAACATGGGTTTACTTTTTTTAAAACAGTTCGATTTTAGGATATTTTAATCCACCCTCCCCTAAATATAATACTAACAAAGCATTTTATCATTCAAAGTTAGATAGTCATCCCTACCAATGGCTGAACGAAACAGACTTAACATGTGAGTACGTCTATTTCCACTATCATATGATTTTGAAATTTAAGTAGTAAAGGAGAGTATTTTCAACTTTATTTTCTTTATATAATACCCATTAACAAAACAGCAAGACAGCGGCAACTTAACCCTATTATTCTGATAGATTATTTTTCCATGTTAATTGAAAGTTGGAAGTTTTGATGGTATAGATGATGTCTAAATATAGAACAACTTTGTATTGTATGCATGTCATGAATATAAGTTGAGAATCCTCTTGTTTCCCAAAGCTATGTTGTTTTTTTTTGTTTTTTTTTGTTTTTTTGTTTTTAATCAAACGTGTTATATGACACATTTACCGGTTATCAACCTTTTGGATTCCTGATGTTGAAAGATATTATTGGTATCCAACGTTTAAGCAAGTATGAAATGCAAAGATCATTTTAATTTTACCGAAAACCAACGTTAGTTTTATTTTTTTAGACGTTATAAAAAAATCCTAATGTTATCAGCATGTATTTGCTTTATCTATGTTAACATGACACATGCATATGTGAATTATATATAATTTCCTAACTAATCCTTAGATAACACATTTCTCTACACGTTTTTCATACTTTCCAGTGATACATACCTTCACACTCTCCATTGCTTTGCATACATCGGTTGTCTTTACAGTCGAACGAACAAGTCTGATTACAGTGGTTGCCATAATAACCGGGAGTACACGCTTTCATGGAAAATCACGAAGAACAAGTCAGAAACCGAAAAAAGTGTAAGGACTACATTTTCCTTATCTAAGTTTTAGGTCATTTATTGTCTTTGATAATGTAATTGTACTCAATGATGATTATTACATGATTATTTCAAACCACAACTGAGCAAGAAAAAAAAATGTTAATTCTGAACCGAATCTGATCAATTTATTATAAAAAAGTAAAATTATAAACCTCAGAAGTGGTATAATTATGAATGAATAAGTGTCCCCACAGCGCATGCATTCTATTTTATTACAAGAAATTAAATTAACACAACATGTAAACAAAAATATCCATATAAATGTTGATTTAAGCTGAAGCTGAATCACTTACCAGAACAAACACCGGATTCTACAATACATATGTCATCATAACAATTTAAGGGGCATTCTACACATAAAGATCCAGATCTATAGTGTCCAACTGCACAGTCTAAAAATAATATGAAACAAGTACATAATGTATACATTTATTACACGCATTGTCTACAATGATTTTAGAATTATGTTGCGATATTTTATATAAAAAGTAGATATGTATATTGAAGACTGCTTAACACATTTATTGATGTCGATATTAAGTTGATTTACTTGAATAAAAAAAAAAATGTTATAATGAAAATGATGTTATACTGTTAACATGATAAGACATATCCATATGTTATCACTGCACCGAAAGCCTATACGATGAAAAAGCAAAGGCAATACACAGTATCTTTAATCAGGTTATGATGACGACCTACACTCTTTTCTTATACTTAAAATGAGTTTTATCACAACGTTTCTCAAGAATAGAAAAATGAATGATAAACTGATTTATTTTCTCTCGTTCCACAGGCAAATGGCATGTTGTACTTTTTCCAGTATTAATATCTTTAGATATATGTAATTACATGCGCATCTTCCGGTCACTGGATCACACAGGCTATTGGCACAGCCTACATCACAATCTGTATCACAATTACCATCACCATATTTCCCAAGCGGACAACCTGAAATATATTAGCATACGAGTTCGGACATAAGCTCATCTGTTATCATTTAAAAAAAAAAAAGCCTTTAACCAATTTTTATTGTTCTATTATCGGCCAAATACATGGATGTACACAGCTCTGTATGTGCTACATCTTCCACAACGTTATAACTTTATCGATTTGTGTTAACACAAATACAGCCACATACACAAAATTACAAAAAACAAATCGTATTATTAGATACTTAATTTACGTACCGTACACTTCTACTTCACAAAGCTCCAGAATAGCGTTATCAGAGTACCACGATAAACCTCCTGACCGTCTATCGCTGTATATCGTCAGGTACTGGGCGCTAACTGTGCATTGTATATGGGGAGTCAACGACAACGCAGCCGCCGTTGATGGTGTGTCTTTATGACAAAGGTAACCGTTCCGCCAATCCGATGTGTTCGACTGGTATATCTGATAGCCACCAAATCGTTGTCGTTGCTGATTCCCTTGATCTAAATATGATAAACAAGATTATCCACGAGAGCTTACGTGTATATACTGTTTTTACACAGGACCATTTTTCGTGTTGTCACCAGGAAAACAACCACTGCATATTCTGTAACAGGCGACCGATGCAGAAATAGCATGAGGAATTAGGGATTGCCATTGTTTTCTCTTTTTAAGATGAAACTTCTGCAGCATACATTTTTACGTGCGGTATCGCTATATTTTAATTTCCATTCCAACTATTTTTTGACGCTCTACTTTGTAACACTTTCCTTTTTGCCCTTATCATCAACTAGGTATATTTATCTTGATACAAAAATCAATTTATCTTTGTATTGGTAATGTTTTTATTTCGTTTCATTAAAGCATGTATAAAGGGAAGACTCATTGATTACATGTTGGTTATTCTCATCAGCATTTTTTTTTTTTATACAAGTGTGCCTAACAAAGATTGACTTTGTCACATCTCCTATCCGTAGGTACACGGACAGAAATACATACACATGCATCGAACGTTGACGTGTGTTGACGTATACACCGAGACCGAGTCAGAGCACTTGAGGTTAACGATACTAGTATTGTACACAACAGACCGTCGTTAAAAAAACAAGAATTCAATAAGGGTCTATATCAAACAGTATTATGAAAACCCCTGGTGTAGAGACGATCCATTAGTCAGAATGTCGACTATATGGAAAGCATTACACACAACATAGACAACCTGATATGTGTATTGTATACAAAATACGTCATTGAATGTACATTTTGCTTTCTAGGTTATTACAGGTTTGTGACCGCTCAGCGCATCACAAAAAGCGTGCGCACACCGTGCATACATCGTTTACACATCGTCCGCATATCGTCCTCACATGGTGCGTACAACTGTGCGAGTTTAAAAGAAATCGTTCGCCCCGTTGTGCACCTCTCTTCGCACAACTGTGCGATTTGGTACAACTTGATCAATATTACGGAATGAAAATTGAATCGAATGTTCGCATACATTAATGTAGACTGTATATATTACTGTAATTTCTTATCACAATCATTAAGTTTATGTACAATTTTACTATGCGTGTTACATAGTATTACAGTGACCGTTTGTTTGTCAAGAATGGGTTTGGTTCCATGGTAACAGAACAAGTAAATAACAATTTGATGAGTGACTGAAGTTTTACCTGGCCTGTGCCTGATGGGAAGACCAGATATGTGATGCCATATGACCGTTCTGAAAACACAACTGGACGTTTACTATTTGTTATTTACATTCGGTTTGGCCCATAGCTCCCCTTCACCTGGATTTTCACACCCCGACGAGTTACGTTAGTACCCCGGGCGGGGGGGGGGGTCCAGGTACATGTACAAAGTGGATATGTTTATACAGGACTGAGGTGCAATTTAAACATGTGTCGATAAAGGGCGTTTTAAAAAAACACAGAAAACACAATTTTTAAATATAACAAAGTTTTAGACAGAAAGATAAGCTTATAGAGGACCATATGGAAGAATAGCCTTTGGCTAAACAGGTATTTTATCCTCAATAAATAAAATGTATTATTATAAGTAGTAGTATTATGTAACAAGAATAAAGAAACACACTTAAAAACCAGGTTTATATATTTAAACACGAAACCGCATATATTGTTAAGCCATTCCTCAATTTACATCCAGCTACGATACTTATCGCAGAACGTTCGTCCATCGTCCACACAAATGCGCGCAAGCAATGCTCGTCTACTTTTATATCGTTCGGTCATCGTGCAACACATCTTTCACACACCGTCCGCACACCGTGCGCACACCTTGCGCACATCGTGCACACACCGCACGTCGTGTAACGATGTGAGAACCCACAACTTTGTGTTAAATGATGTCAAGCTATCCTCGTAGATTTTACCATTATCGGTGTGGGCCTAACGGGCCGTTTAACCAGGTATAGCTAAACTTAAATGTAATTCATTACCTACTTATTTAAATATCGTTTTTGAATGTCACTAATCTGAATTCCGGGATCAACGACTTCGCAATAACCAGTGCGATCTGAATACGGGTGGGATGGGGATGGGGTGGAGTTACAATAGTCGTTTTTCGCGACATGCAGTTAGACAACACAGTGTTGTCTAAGGTCATGAACAATACGAGAAACTTAAAACCAGCATTTTGTTTTATTGTTGAATACAAAATCAAAATATCTGATTACTCACCTCTGTAGTATATTTTAACGTATTCCATAACGATCAGTCCTTCTAGATCTACTTGCCACCATGCCTCCTTTTTATCTGGATATGTATGTGAACAACAGTTTTGGCTGTCGAAGATTTGTTTTCGACAACCATCTACAGCCTTACCACTTTGATATGCAGCACTGTGGTTTGAACTTTGTGCGGTGATTTTGATATTTGGCTCACGACTGGTGTTAACTGTAAAATAATGAATTATGATTGTATATCTATATATATATATATCTGACTGATCTAAAGTACTAAACATTGTCAATATTTTCAGCATTGCAAGGTCAGCAATGTATAAATGTGTTGATGGTAAAAGCAAGTATTAAAAGAAGGAAAGGATAAGCAGAAATTAATGGAGAACGGCTATGAATAAGGTAAAAAAGGGGATAAAATAAACCAACAACAAAAAAATAAAAATAAAAGAAATGGATAATTTTCTTTTTAACTTATGTTTGACTTTTGATTGAAACTGCTAATTACAAGTATTCGGCCATAAACGAAAAATAAACAGTTACNTAATTATGGTTTAATACTCTAATCTATTTATATTAAGATTTTTTTTCCAGAAAGATACATTTAGATGATTTAACATAAGT